TAAGGAAAGAGTAGCCAAAGAGTTTGCGGTGGGTGCTTTTAATTTGATAAGGAAAGAGTAGCTAAAGAGTTTGCGATGGGTGCTTTTAATTTGCTAAGGAAAGAGTTTGCGATGGGTGCTTTTAATTTGATAAGGAAAGAGTAGCTAAAGAGTTTGCGATGGGTGCTTTTAATTTGATAAGGAAAGAGTTTGCGATGGGTGCTTTTAATTTGCTAAGGAAAGAGTAGCCAAAGAGTTTGCGGTGGGTGCTTTTAATTTGATAAGGAAAGAGTAGCTAAAGAGTTTGCGATGGGTGCTTTTAATTTGATAAGGAAAGAGTAGCCAAAGAGTTTGCGGTGGGTGCTTTTAACTAGTTGCTTTCACTCTTATCTGTCAGTTCAAAATTAGAGATGTCTATGCGCAGCTAGTCTTGTTCTAGTTTTACACGAAATGCGAGAACAAATAAAAAGTTTAATTTGTTTCATTACAAAAAAAGCAAATCTTAAACGTTAAATTTGAAAATAAGAATACTTTGTTCTAACTCTCAGCATTTTTTTTTTTTCCTTTCATGTTTTATTTGTATAAACGTTTTCCAGACACTGGAAGCCCTAGAAAGCACGTGCATTTGTTTTTCCTTTTACGACTCATTAAGTTACTGTTAATTTTATATCCATATTTGAGTGTAGAGTTTTGGATTTAAATCAAAAATTCCACGTCTGCACTTCCTAAAATACTCTTTTAATATTATTTGCCTGTATTTTAGGTTGCATGAACTCGACGTTGATGCTTAATTGGCGCTTTATTATCATGTCGATTCAAACTTAACATAACACGTTCTTCGGTTAATGCCCCCAGTGGCGCAGCGGCATGTCTGCGACTTTATAACGCTAAAAACCGTGTTTCGATACCTGTGTTGGACAGAGCACAGGTAGCCCATTGTGTAGCTTTGTGCTTAACTACAAACAAACCTTCGGTTAATGATTTAAGTAGATGAGGATTGTCTTGGAAGTGAATAACTGAATGAAATTAATAAGGTAGTTAAAATATAACATAATAATGTCCATTGTTCATTCGTGTACAAATACCAATTTATCTGTGTGAGATACATTTCGAATAATAACATTTACCGGTTAATTTTACCAATGTACTTGAAACGCTATAATCTTCAGTATGATGTAATGTCAACTGTATTACCCCAACTTCAGTTGCTGTAGTGTGTACATCAAAAACTGTATTACCCCAACTTCAGTTACTGTAGTGTGTACATCAAACCGTGCTTAGATAGAACAGTAAAGATTGTTGTCGCCTCAATAACATAAAACGGCAGTAATTATTTACCCCATTAGTTATGCGTGATCAAGAGTTAACTTAATTGTCCTATATTGTTATTGCTGTGTGTTTGGTTTCATCCGTGTTTTTCAGTACATGCACTGTAGCTATTATACATCTCCATAAACTTTAAAGACAACAAGGGACCTGTTCGTCCATCTAGGCCGTCCCATCCACTAAACTAAACTTTAAATAAAAATGAAATACTCGGAGCTAGCCTTTATCATATAAATATTTATCAAGCCATTTCTTAAACTGCCTTAAATTTACTACATCCATCACATCTGAAGGCAACACATTCCAAAGGTCAACTACCCTGTTAGAATAATAAGTACTTAGCTGAAGATGATTCCTGCTTTTCTAAAATTTATATTTGTATCCTCTAGCCCAGCTATTCCCACCATTAATTATATTTAAAAAAAAATGATGCATCACACTAACAATTACCTCGACAATCCTCTAACTCTTCTTGTCCCCCGGTGGGACAGAAGTAAGTTTACGGACTTACAACGTTAAAATCCGGAGTTCAATTTCCTGCGGGGGATACATCAGATAGCCCTATGTGGTTTTGTTCTAAAACAAACGCACCAACTCTTCTTTTGTCAATAGAAAACAATTTCGAAAATCCTAAGCTATCCTCGTATTACAACCTTTCCATCCCAGGCATCATCCTAGTAACCTTACTCTGAACCCTTTCCAACAATTCAGTGTTCTTCCTTAGGTAAGGAGTCCAAGGCCTAACACAATACTTTAAATGAGGCCTAACCAGTGACCTATATAATGGTAAAACGCGAACAAATCACGTTTGTTGTTGTTTTACTATAACATCAGTTTATTGTAATGAGTTTTACATAAGTAATTAGAATAAGCTTTTACTACCAATGATTTGATTTGTCAACGTATCAACATAAGTTATAAGAACTTAAACTTATCGAATAAGTTTTTATTATTTCGTTTTTTTTTTTAAAGCTACTCAAAAAGCTCCAAATTTTAACCTGATAAACTTGGTAAAATTTAACCTGATGGACTTGGTAAAAGCAGCCACCGCCAACTCTTTCCCTACCATTGTCTAATCGATCAGTAGGACTTGACGTCACTCTCAAAGTTTTACAGTTTGGAACGCATTTGTTACGGTAACGGAAGCTTAGGTTGGGGGGGCCATGGTGGCTAAGACGCCCGACTCGTACTCTGAGGGTCGCGGGTTCGGATCCCTACCATCGAAAATGCTCGATCCTTCAGCCGTGGGGACGTTATAATGTTTCGATCAATCTCATTATAATAGGGGGCTGTAGTGCCAACATCGGGAGGTAACTTTATTTTACTTACCCGTTATTTTCGTTTTTTTTATTACTTTGGAGAACAGTCACCTTCCCACAACTGTCTGCAGGCAGTGAAAGGTGATACAGATGTGTGACGTTGTGAGCTTGAGCACCCACATCTGGCTCTCCTAACATATTTGTTTGATTTTTTTTTTTCTTCAACATGTGAAACTGGCGAACAGAGGTCAAAACTGGTAGATGGTGTATCTCCACCGCAATGTGGGTACTACTTCCGCAGTCACCTCCAAAACTCATTTTATATCCCACATTATAGCCTGTACCCTGTTGATTCTTTTACTTTATTCAGCGTCTGTAATTCAGTTTTTGTATTTGGACCCGTTTTGTTCATTAATATAACTGTTATAGCTAGGACTAATTTGTTAAATACGTTTTCATACAGCACTGTTAAACTTAATTGGTGTCGGTGTTATCCGACGAAGAGAGAGGTTTAAGTAATCCTGCTACAATCGATGACATATTTATAATAAAGAAATCGTGAAGTTATTTAAAACTATATTTTGTGTCTTCTTTACCATAAACAGTACAGTTTTCCTTCAGAAATAAAAAAATCCGAGTTTATATTATGTATACGACATTTTGTCTTATTTTTCAACTGCCATGCACTTCGAAACAAAGTTGTTTAAGATTAATATTTCCGGTATATGGTAAATCGAGATCAAGTACCTACCGTTCTCAAGCACGTGTATTTGTTTTCTTGTCATTCTGCAGCAGTCTATATATACACACATATGTAAACAGACATGATTAGTACTATTTTCATATGTCACAGCACTATGGTATTTTTAGGTATTTTGGTAGAACGGTTCAAGTCAACATAAGAGAGGTTACAGTTTGCCTGGTGTAATTACTTTCCACTCTGTAAGAACTCGTTATTTATAATATAATTTACAAAAGAAAGAAAGAAAGAAAGAAAGAAATCCCTGACAGTTAAGAGCTAGAAAGTTCGTGCCATAACTGTGGTTGATATGACATGTCTTGCTCCTCAGTGGTACAGCGGTATGTCTGCGGACTTACAACGGGTTTCGATACCCGTGGTGGGCAGAGCACAGATAGTCCATTGTGTAGCTTTGTGCATAACTTCAAATAAAACAACATTTCTTCTGGTCAGTGTGCCGAAAGTATGAAACATTGTGAAACAGATTTCCGTCTAAAACAAAGTTTGAATCCACTATTACGGAACAACAAATTTATACGGATAAAAGTTTCGACACTTATCACACGACCTCTTCATTCCGACGTTGCCTAGTGGCACAGCGGCATGTCTGCGGACTTCTTGCAATGCTAGAATCCGTGTTTCGATACCCGTGGTGAGCAGATCACAGATATAGCCCATTTTATAGCTTTGTGCTTAATTACAAACAATCATTCCGACGTCGCAAACAAACGTTGGACTGAAGAGAACATTTGAAAAGTATCGAAACTTTTATTCTTACAAATCCGGTATTATTCCTTAACAATATACTTAAACTGTATTTCAGAATACTTTACACGATATTGTTTATTTACCTACTATTAGATGTTCATATTTTCCTGGGAATTTTCACTGCTCCAATCATTTTTTTTTTTTATTTTGTTTCCCCGGTGGGTAAATTTTCGAACTTAAAACACTAAAATTTGGCGCTCGATACCCCGCTGTAAACCCAGCTTTGTTCGAAAAATTTTTTTTTTCACCAAATCGTGTATATTACGTACATATAATTGCTATTATACAGAATTACGATTGTAGCTTAGCAATATGTTGCATTCCGGATGGCACGAGAGCTTACAGCAATGATACCTCCCTCAGTAGATAAAGAATGGTTAAAACATTAAGTATGCGCATAGCTGAAAGTCTAGGTACGACAGTTTGTAGAACCACTAAATGCTCACAACAGTTTTTTTTCACGCTTTTCAAAAGTAACTCCAAAGCACGGGTTCGCTTGACCAGCCATTTATGCACGTTCGTCACGGAATACAGAAACACCTCCATAAACGGTCACGGTGTGGTGTTATACAACGTGATTTTTGTTATGTGTTGTTGTTTTTTTTTTTTGTTGTTGTTGTTATTGTTTTCTATTTACATAATGTGATGTACGCACACTGACATGACAACAGAAGTTATTATTTTTTTCAATGTATTCCACCATGAACTGGCGGCTAAGTTCGTTAAAATATTCATATTTAATTTTGCGATAGAAAACACGCACCTTTCTCCTAAGATTCTCCTATTCCAAGTTTCGGTTCAATGGATAGTAAGAGCCAGGAATGGTTGGTTACCTACCAAAGCTGACAACGTTGAGACCTCGAGCTTGTCCTAGTAACGTTCTTTGTCCTATTTTTCTATTTGTTTATTTTATTTTTTTCTAATTCTAGAATAGCCCTCACTGCTGACCCAGTTTGCCTAGTGTGTGTGAAGAGAAGAATCGGTACCAGTACCATAAGCAGGAAGCCTATAACAGAATACAGACAGGCATCACTACGCGACTGCTCCTTCACTTTTGTCACTTCCTAGTTCTGGCGCCAGGTTGCTATAGTTACGTGTTCCCAGTTTACCTTGCGAAATTCATACTGGAACTTTTGATCTCAGGTGAGGAGTGATTTTTCTTATTGCAGCAACAGAATCATGATTAGATAAATTAGCGGAAGTTATATAAAAGTATCATATATGTGACAAAACTGTTCAATATTTGTCTAGTATGTGTCACCAGTACTCCTGGTTTTTGACTGCTACTCAAGTACACTTTTCTTTGAAAAAGACAGTTGTATAATAATATAATATTAGAAATAATTGTATCCGATTGCTGCACCACTAAATGGGCTATAAGCAGCTGAATTTATCTGCTTAAAACAAACAAGTATAAGCAGGTGAGTTTAACTCCTTATTATAACACTAAAAGTGCTTTAAACGATTTAGCTCAGCTAATTATATCAGCTTATTGTAAGGCTAAACGAGCTTTAAGCAGATGGACTTAAATGCTTACTGTAAAACTAAACACGATGTAGGCAGGCGACAGTGGGTAATTTTATTAGCTTTATGTTCTAAAATAGTTATAAGCATGTGAGGTTTCTGGATGGTTACGTCATTAAGATGTACAAACGGCAAGGTATGTACGCTTGAAGACTTGTTTGCTTATTAACTTAATTTCTACAAATAAAAACGTGTTAAAGTAATATAATTTTGCGGTAACACAATGTTCGTATGTATGTATGTAACTGAAACAACAACGACGCTTAAACTGAGACGAAATAAAACCGCGCGTTTTTTGAACGTCTAAAGCTATACATAGATGTATCTTATCATTTCATTTAAGTTTATATTTGGTTCTGTGAGTAGCAACTGGCGTTTGTGGTGCTCAAATGTTCAATGTTATTAAGTATCAAATACCAAATATGTTTTCCACTTAACAGTTTTGTACTATACATATCCTACAGAATAATTCAAGGTCCTTCATTTTTGTACACTAGATGAACGTGGACATGTTTTATTTATACAGACTGTGCATCTTATCTATCTGTGCGGTATTTCACAGTTTTGGAGTATTGTGCGTCGACTAAGAAAACATTCCTTGCATCATAATACGTTTCGTTATTGGGGGAAAACCTGAAGCTGAATATAAATAGCTTTAATACCAAAATGCAATTATTCAATCCAGTAGTTCAAACACAAACTTGAAGTACCATACCAAAGAACGCAAACATTAGTTTATCTTTCCAGTGCTGTGTATCTACCCTTAAATTTACATGTAAGTTTCTCAGAAAAACCCAGTACGTACATATTAACTGTAATGCAAACTGGATCGATCGTGGCCTAATAGTTAGTCTGCCGGATTATGATTCTGTGGGTTCATGTCCTGATACTTCTCCCGTCCCCCAAAAAATCGTATTAATATTTGTATTCTAGAATGCATTATAAGGGTAACAGTCAAATTCCACTATACGGTCAAACAAGAGTAGCCCTAGAGTTGGCGTTGCTTGCTGTTGACTAGATGCTTTCTCGCTAATTTTTCGGTTACGAATTAGGGACGGCTAGCGCAGGTAATCTTTTACTAGTTTTGTAAGAACATCCGAAAATAATTACAGACGGCTAGTGCAAATAGTCCTTGATTAGCTTTGCGCGAATTTCCGAAAACAAACAAAATTACAACTTCCGCGAAATATTTTGTTTGTTAGTTAAATTCTTTAGTAAAGTGTAAGGAGTTCCCTCTATAAGTTGACCAAATGTAGACTTATAGACTACAGGTTATTCCCTACCACTGTTGGATATACTAGTATAAAAGTCGTCAAAATTGAAGGGAAATCATTGTTGAATGAGTAACGAAAATTATAGAATTTAACTAAAACAAATTTGTCTGTACCTCTATAATGCATTTACTCTTCACCAATTTCCTCAGTCTCGAAGTGATTTTTAATTACCACATTTTTTAGTAAAAACTATGCAGAAAAATTAAATGTGATCGTGAACAAAATGACGTCTGAAAGAAACTTAAAAAGCACTCTTGAGCCTTTTTACTGTATTCTAGGTCAGGAAGTAGAAAACATAGTGCGGACATTCCGACACAAATTTTCAACTATTTCGACTGTACAAAGGATAAAATATTCTTGATAGTAATAAACGTTTATTTTTCTTTATGTTTTAAGGCCAAGTAGGTAATATATGTGTTAAAATACCAAAAGAATATTTATTGATTAACATTTATTCACCACTTAAAACTTTTTAAACACTGACTCTATAATGTTAGTAATAGTAGGTCTATTTGTAATCAACTTTAAGCATTAGACATAATACGTAAATGTAACGTAAGGCTTAGTTGAAACACAACTTGGTAAATTTTACTTTGCTTTTGGCTACAACTCAACGTCATAAAACTTCCGAATTAAAGTATTTTGCTGTTATATCATGAAGTTGTATAAAAAAAGTTTCTAACAAATCAACATGAATATTAAGCATTCAACATAAACACCATAGTTGACCTAAGAACAATCAGGTGATAGTTATGTTGCTAAGCGACAATGTATATTGTTGAGCATTACCAGAAAGGAGCGTAAAAGTGTTCTCGACAGAGTGACAAAGGGAATATGCCACTTATAGTTAGTGATATATATATATACATGATCGAATATGCTCATTATTCAGCTTATTAAATGTTAGGCTAGTTGACGATGTATATTTTGTAAGTACTTGATTCGTGGGTTAAAAACGCGTAGTTTTAGATTACAGAATATTGTTCCTGCGCGAGTATGAATGTAAAAGTTATTATAATAAAATCATAAAGATATCGTCTCATATTATCATGCTTTAAACAGTTTTGTGATGGTACAGATACAAGTGTTCTAAATTTCGTTCTAATCTGTTCTTTATAAACTAAGCACATATTCGTGTATGTCTGCTTCCACTTGACTAGCCAAACCTATCAATTAGCATTAACCATATGGTTAAGTTGTTACGTTAACTCATTGTATCCATCAGTGTGTGTTGTCGAGATAGGATTATCAACCCCTGAAAATTCTGGTTCATTCTGATAAGACGTTTTATATTATTTGTACTTTGTTTTATACCGAGCGTAGCGAGAGCGATCAGTGTTGAACGTTTTGCTAAGTTATGTAACCACTCTAACGTGAGAGCAGAGAACTATGAAATCATCAAAGTTTACACGGATAATATGTTTACACTGCTATAAAGTCAAAGTTAAAAAAAATCACACGTATCATAGCTTAATCTGGAAAGAAATACATTAGAGTCAGAGGTTAAAATTACTTTCGAATGACGTCATATCTAGAATAAGGTTTTAAATAGAAACTTACCTGAAGTATAATGACATGTAGATTACGTTTAATTTGTTCTATCAAAAATATTTAGGTTTAAAGTACATCAATTGAGTTTAATTTATTTCAATGATATTTTACTATGCCGTATTTAAAGCTTTTCATCCGTGTTTTTTTTACTTAGTTACAAATTAATTGTACGTTTCTTTTTTAAACTCATTTTCTGTTAACAGATGAGCTCGTGTGTTAAATAAAAACAAAAATATATATATTTCTACACGTCATTTTTCCACATTAAAATTGGTTTTGTGTTCATCTGTAGTTGTAGAATGTGCTGCACAATAAAAACCTGATTATTTTTGTTATTGTACTGATATTTTACAAATAAATTGCTAAGATTGTATTTAAAAAAAAATGGCTTGAACTTTAGAGGCGTAAAGACATACGAGTGAATATACGAGTTTTTAGAGAGGCGAATGAAAATGAACCATCGTCATCTGAATGCGCTTCTAACTTATTTAAACTCATTCAACCCTCCCTATACTTAGTCTCCCGGTGATTGGATTGGATTTGGGGGAGGGGTAAGGACCTACACACATTTCATCCCATGCAGAGAGCAATGACTGGCCGAACGTTCAACCTTGCGCCCCCTGGTGGTCGTTTAAAGTTAACAACATGTCGTCTGCTCCTTTGTTCGCTGTCACTGCCAGTCCTAGTCATGCTTCGAGAGGTTGCTCTGACTGTGGAGTCTTCGAGAAACACTTTGACCTATCGTACCTGACCACCTGTTTTATCCGTATGCGTTAGCTGGAGTTCGTTTTTGTTTTGTTTAACTTCTTTCCAAGAATACTTTATTTCGAAGTTGAATTTCTAGTGTGAAAAGTTTAGGTGAGTGAAATTTTGAAAACGCAAGATGGGATTTAATGACTATTTCAAGTACAGTAGTAAAAATTATGTTCATTTAAACATTGAATGGATGGATTCACGTGGCTGAGGGATGATTTGAAAGAACGAATCTTATTGTTTCAGCCTTGATTCTCGTGAAAAGTCGAATTATTTATATTTTATTGAAGTACAGTTTTGTTTTATCTTTTGTTTATTTGCTTGCTTGCTT